CTCTTCCCTCGGTAGTGAGATGTAAAAACCCTTTGCTGTTCGCCCTGAGAGGATGGCAGTGTCAACCGTCTTGGTTTTGTACATATTAAATTCTCCCGTCACCCAACAGATCTTGTAAGGTTTCTATTACAGATACGCACACATTTAATTGACAAAAGAAGGAAGCTGGAACTATCCTGTTCTGATACAGCACGATTTCAGACTGCCTGAAAGAAAAGCAACAGCTCTATCCATTAATAAACCACATTCATTTACAGTATCCCCAAAGCATTACATCTGATTTCTGGTCGTATCTCAAAATCAGGAATCACGGGAAGTATTAGGAAGAAAGTAAGTTGAATCCATGTAATCTATGTGTAGATCTGTTACTAGACTAACTTCCTTATTTTAAACTGCAAGACTCGCTACAATTCCACTATGTTAAACTTTGCAGTTTATAGTGGACTTCTACTGAATTGCATTTTCCCTGCACATTTCTTTCAAAGAACCAAATGACATATATAGGTAGGAAAAGGACATACGGGGAACAGAAAGAAAAAAAAAATACCCCTAGAAGGGAAGAACCAGAGAGGCATATTTCAGTGACATTTACTGTAGCCTTTCTAAAACCTACCCTTTGCTTAAATCCAGCACTATGAAAAGCACAAAACCAGGGACTTTCTCTGAAAAAAGGAAGTGGGAATAACAAGGCAGAATTTAGGAGATCAATTTGTTTCCTCAAAGCACTCGGCAGGAGACATGTTCTCCCCTTACTGCATTCACATTATTAGACATAGAACGATGAGATTTTTCATTACACAGCACCACAGGAGAAGATGTGTGGTAAGGTAACTATAGCGATGGTCCAGCTTCCATCATCTCCTTCCAAAACCAAAACAGTATTCAACAGGTCAGCTCAAAGTAAACCAAAAAACTTGAGGGACAGCAAATCAAAGTGCTTTTGCCCCCTGAAGCACAAGACTGGATGACTAAGTTAAGAGGAAGCCCTTCCACTACTCAAGACACAGTGCAGTTAGAAGTCGCCACTGCTTAACATATCAACGCTGGTTATCTCCGCTGAATTTCTAGTAAACATACCCAAAGCACCATCAATACAATTTCAGTTTACATAAAGTATTACATGATAGTAACTTCAACAAAACAAGCTAGGTGTATCCTTATGGTAGCAGTGGTGGGGAGCTTGCAGTCAAACTGACGATGCTGTACTTGTTTTAATCAGGGCAGGTAAGAGTGCTCTAAAACTGGAAGTTGACAAAGTAAGTTTAACTAGGTCAAATTCAGCTGGCTGGAAAGATCAGACGCACACATGAAAAAAAGTTCAAAGTATGTCATTTCATGAAACGGAGAATTTCATTTCTTTTAAGTTATCCCTCTTCCCTGCAAAGATACCTCATTAAGAGCTGGAAGACAGACCAAACACTTCCACTTTACATCAAACAATATATTCTATTATTCTGCAAGAAGCAGATGCAGTGAAATTAGAGGGGAGAGAAAACTATACTGGTTTGGGCAGTTCTACGGTTAACATCAAATTATTAAAAGAAGAAAATAATAATTTCTAAGCTTATTTTCCACGTGCCACAACTTCTAAGCAATTAAAATTCTCTAGGCAATTTTCATTTTACTTCTGCATTACAATATGCTGACATTTGCAATATGCATCTTTCCTGAAAAATCTTAACAAATTTTAATGCTGTGTTTTAGGCTTAAGCTTACACCCAATACCAGTGGCAGAATGCTGGTCCCTAGATACCTTGAGAGTATCTCTTAAAAACCCAACCAACCAACCCACTCGCCTAAATGTCTTTGTTATTTTGAGGCTGTTTAATGCTAGATTTAATTGGAGTGGGCAGGGGGGAAGGAAAAAAAAAAAAAAAGGAAAACAAAAACCCACCTGCACAGAAGACAGGTTTTTAACTACATTTCATTACTATATACTTGCTCATTATGCACAAACTTTTCTGAGGGCAAAAGTGAGTTGCCCTGAAAAGGAAAACTTACTATAGACAAGCTGTTACATGAATAGCAGGAGAAAATAATCATATTGACACAAGATATTATTTATAATTCATCAAGTAAGAAATTAACACAGAATCAATTTATCTTAGCTTGAAAATAAGCGTGGTTGGTTTGTCTTGGCATTTATCTAACTGCAGGATGTCATTAAGCTCTAACAACTTTCCAGTCCACTGGTATTGCTTCTTCAATGTCTGCACTTCACAAACCAGTAACTCCCACAGAACATGCATCCTCTTAAAGGCTGCTCTTTTCACCAGCCTGCTAAGCAGTATTAAAATTGCATGGGCTCCTTCAGCCAACATATTGTGCTTTACGCTGACCTTTAAATTCCAAAGTCATTAGTACAATACAAATGAAGAAAAAAAAAAAATTTATATCTCTCTCCTGAAGGGCTTTACTATATAAAGATTAAAATTTCTCACAGAAACCTCATGTACTATGCACTTTCTGATTACAAAGGATATCTGAAAGTGATGAGAAAGACTATCACAATGTGAAGTAATTTTTAAACAAGTTTGCTCTAAACAGTACTTAAGAACACATCTGCCATGACAGGTATCAGTATCATTTCAATAACATTAATGAAAGATTTTCTATACTAATGTTGTAAGTACATTAATTCCACACCTTTTAAAATGGTAAAACAATTCAAGATTAGCGATGATCTAGTGAAACAGAAGCTAATATACAGCTGTATGAAATTGTACTTAGAGGTGAAACTCCTCAGGTTTATTTATATGAATGACTACTAATGACCTATTTCAAAAAGTATGTGCTTGAAAGGTAATACAACCACTTTTTGCAGAATGAAGACTTCATGCTGATGAATTGAAGTTCCACCTAAGCTGGTATGCATTGTAAGTTTCAATTTAAAATTCATGTATGTGACCACAGGTGGAAGCCTGAACTCCGGATAAAACCCAGGCACTTGCTTCACAACGCCTGGAAAATGCAATAGGGCTTCAAAGTGGGATTCACAAAAGCCAAGATCTTTGAGCAGATATTTACCCTCTGCTTACTGCTGGTCAAAAAGAATCACCCAGTACAAGATATTTTAAAACGCACACTTTCTCCTGAGCAAGTTAACAGAATTATATACGAGGAGATGCCTTCTAACTAAGGATGCGGAAGCTATGTCTTCTGAGCAGCAGAAACCTCTAGCCTTCCTTACAGAAGGAAGATGGCATCCTTAAAGATCTACACACACACTTTAAAAGGAAGCTGGCTCCTAGATTAGTGAATAGAATTTAGGCACCTATGATCTTTTCTGGGATCTAGTTCTTGAACTTTCATCTTTCACTGCAAAAAAGAAACTGTTCTGTTGACCTTGGCGACAGAAAAGAAAAAGGGTGAAGGCTGTTGCCAGAGCCGTAAGGTAACATTAGGTGAAACAACGCTTTATTTGAACTCCTACTTGGATACACCTACATCACAGAAAGCACTATTAAAAGAACTAGAACTGCAATAAAGTCCAGATGTAATTCGGTAAGTACAGAAAGACAATTACTGTATTTTCTCAAAAGGTAAGTCTCCTAAGTGTGACAATCAGGCACAGAGATTAAAGGGCACGTAGTGTGAGGAAGGTTACGCAAACCAACCTGTGCCTGCCCTGTACATACACTGTGAACAGCAGTGGAAATTTAGGTCTACTTGGCATCCAATTTGCAATCATTTTTAACACATTTTTTTGGACTTGTTCCTTTAGAAAGGTCCCCAAACAAAGCAATGTAATTGATACTAAACATCTGTCATCAGTTTTGTTGCTGTCTTAAACAACTTTAAAAAAAAAAATCAATTATGTATCTTTAAGTAACTCTTAAGAAGCAATCCTGCCAAAGGATGCACTCACAGGCTAAAAATAAACCCATTCTGTTAATAGAAAAAAATAATGTTTTCTGAATTAGGGCATTAATATCAAATCAATTGAGTTAAAAACATTTTTATATAAAATTATGCAAGAAACTTTAAATGCTGAATAATTTTCTGCCTAAAAGTGTTTGTAACTAAACTTCTATTTTAATAATTTTTCCTTTCAGCAGAAAAGCCACGTTTCCTTCCTTGCACAAGCTGACTGGAAATGCTTGCTCTATAAAGTATTTACCAAACACTTCTTGACTTGCAAAGCTCAAGTGTCATCATACTGTTTCCAACTCATTTGTCATGACTGCCACCATCATGCAAAAAATATTCAACAGAGAAAATCTTGTTTTTCCTTTACAGTCAAGGAATTTATTCTCCAGGAACCGCACATACTCTTCCCATCCCCCCACGAATCCTTTATACATTGCCAGGACAGACCTCCTCAAGCCCAGGCTTCGATAAATTAAGTAATATAAACTTAGGTATAATGAAAAAATTTAATCTTTTCTAAAGATGTTGACACGTTTTTCCTTGAAAGCACATTTGAAAATCCTTCTAAACATGTGCACTGTTAAAAAGCAGGCTCTAACAAAGCAGTATTTTTATCATTCCACATACAGAAAAGACCATAACTTTGATAATTTATTCTCACCTGCAGGTCTACGACTGACATCAGATACTCTACATCTCAAAATTCAATTCATGAATAAAATTAACGTCATTTATATGAAGTGAATTTAATATTATCTCCCCAGCCAGTTTATATTGCGATGAATTAGTTAGCTGGTGTTATTAGGACAGCCTACAACACAATGCCTTTGCTTATTTACAAAGTCTAAACCAGACTTGGTTGTCAAGCACATTAAGCAAAACTGAACACTCAAATCAGATTTAACTGACTATTTTAAGACATTCCTAGAAATAATACCTACTGATAGAATGTAAAATACATGCTTTGGGCAATAAAATGTATTGCACTGATCAAAGCTGGTTACATAAACAAGCTAAACCAACCACTGCAAAAGAGGTCATCGTATCCACTAATAAATTTTCAAACGCCATGACCACAAATTTAGTCCTCATTCAGAAACACTGCGTACAAACTAGAGAGTTAACTAAACTGTGATTTAGTTAACAACCGAGTTTAATGTAATTAGATGAAGTTAAGATACCTTTTCTCCTTGCAAAATGAGTGAATACAGCAGCAAGAAACAAAATCCATTCTTACAACTGAATAAACGTGGAGAAGTAAAATACATACGGGAGGAGCGTGTATGTTTCAGACCACAGAAAATACAGTACATTATTCACATAGTTAGAAAAAACCAAGCCAGTTACCAAAATGTTTAATTGGTAAAAGTTTAATGTCAACTTACTTATAAAAATGAAAAAATATTTTAACATTCACCATACAATTGAGCAACCTGGCCCTACTGACTATCAGCTATAGGAAGGCATTTAAAGAAGTGATGATTTAAAGAAGGCTAACTTCAGGCATGTATGCTGCTTTGAAAAAAAAACAAAAAACAACAACAAAAAAAAGAAAACAAACCCCCAAACCCCTCTTATTTGCAGGAAGCTAGATGCTTAGCCTAGTTTTTAAAGCTAATTACAAAATCCTCTTTCATACTGGTCCAGATGTCTTGACAATTTCTTCTTCTAACAGAACTGTCAAAAGAAAAGAATTTTTTATGAGATCTTCATACAGCTTATTTCTAAATCTTCGCAAGAAGAAACAGAAATATGACACCATACTTAGGATATGGAAATTACTAGTTAAAAGAGTTTGCTTGTATCACAACCATTCCTTCACACAAGCATCTTTATACAGACACTTTTGTAACCACCGCCTTACACAAGGTTTTAAGGACAAATGAATTTTTCCAGGTACTGCATCGAACAACTTCTAAGCTTTATAAACTATTTAGGTATCTTGGAGTATACACTTGAACAATATTCAGTAATAGGATATGTAAAACAAGATGCATAAAATAATTTTTTTTTATGCAGTAGTCTTAATGTATGCTGTGCAACTTGATGCTGCAGAGCTGCAGCATTCTTAACAGAAAAATAATGGAATGGGGGTATCATGCTTCATATCGCATGCTATCACATCTTAAGTTGTACATTTTATAGGCCTTCATTTCAGTGTTTCTCCACTTTATTGGACTACCAGTGTTCCTCAGAAGCTTTTATAATTCCCATCTCCTGAACTAAAAAAAAATTAAATCAAGTTATCACTGCCCTACATTTAGGCTGACACAGGAACATGGCAGCAGTCATCTCTGGTTTTATCCCCTCTTCTTTTCAAAGTAGCAAAAAACCCAGAAAAAACAACAACAAAAGGTCTAAAAAGGCCTATTCCACTCGGCAAAGCAGAGATTAAAAATAGGTAGAATATCTTTGGGTGAAGAAAGAGAAAACACAGTGACTAACTTGCCACTACTTTGGCAAAGCAGCATTGTAACTAAATGTCACAAGGACGAAGTCAATGCCCTGACTTCTCTCCCCTTTTGCCACCACCCTACTTGTGTGATCTCACACCTTCAGTCAAGAAGACTTTTCTAACCTAAAGCTATTTTGCAGTATCAACACGTAATATCATTACCGGGCTAAGAAATAACCAAAAGTCAACATAAACTCATTTGTCATTTACTGTAAACCAAAATGAAGCACAGAGCCTGGCTGTCTGCTATCAAATATGCAGAGCAGTTTAACAGTCTTACCTTCCATCTGTTTCCACATTCATTACAGACAACAAACGTTGTCATGGGTTCATCAGCACTGCGGGTTTGAACCTTTGGCAAAGGCAAGAGCCAAAGCGGAAAAGGAAAATTAGTATCTTTAACTTTTGTTAGTATGTGTTCAATGTAAAGGTTTAAAATTAAAGTTCAGCATTAAGGAAACTCATTTGGATAAAAATACAAATTAGCTTTCCATATCAATTGAAATTGGTTTTTTTGTCTAGACTATAAAGCGATCATAAACTTATGTTTTGACAGATTTAGTAGCACTAAAATACCAATTTCGGCATAGAAACTGTGCACATACTTCTAGGAAAAGATTCTGCAGTAACACTACGTGTTCAGTACAGCTTTACATACATTTACTGATGCAAAGGCTTAATAGTCTCATGACTGAAAACCAGCTGTTTACTTAAAGCATCTCATATGCAATAATAAATTATAAATGCAGCTGATCCTATGATAAAAATTACATGCCCTAAAGCACTGCTAAACAAACTAAAGCCCTTCTTGCATATATTTCCTAATTAAAATAGAAAAAGGGTGTAGGAATGATCGTAAGTCAGGGTCTAGTGTTAGTCAAATGGTACATTATATATACATATGAATGAATGTATGTGTATGTATGTATATATATTTTATACGTATGTATCATTATTTTCTGCTATTTATTCCCTCTGTATAGAAAAGTTTACACATAAAACCACATTAATAAGGTGTAATAAGAAGAATTACCAAAAACTTAGCATTGCAAAGAAACTGATGTTTCAGTCTACACAGATACTCAGCCTGGATTTACATAAAATCTTTGGTAAATTAATGCAACAAACATGCTTTACATAAGCACACCTAAGTGGATCCAACTATCTTCATATATGTTGTAATTTGTTAGCCTTTTGTTAAAAGTTCATTTTGTAATTAAAACTTTTTTTTTCTGGCAGTCTTTATGTAGGAACTTAAGCTTTGAAAAAGGAAAACAAAGAGCCTGAATAACCACATACCTGGGTGTATGTACAGTTCTTCTTTTTGCACTTGCCACACGTAAACAGATCAGTTTGGGTACCTCCTGTTTTAGCCATCTGGTGCTCTCTGATAGCTTCTTTGGTCAGATTTTTGCGCATTTCTTTCAGCTCATCACTTGCCATTTCCTATCATGGACAAAGAGCAGACAGAGTTTACTAGAGAGTTTGAGTTCTAAACAAGTCGTTCCCACAGAGCAAGCCCATACCGCTTTTTATTTAGAATCCATGAACAACAACTCTATTGAAGGGCAAAGTAAGTCTACACGCTTTTAATTTCACAAGACTTAAGTTGGGATATTTCACAGCACAGAAGCTACAAAAAGTTAAAAATGGTCTGGGGTTTGGGGGTTTTTTTGGGTGGAGGGGGGGGGGGGGGCGGAGTGTG